ATGCCAACCCTTTTCTCCCCACAAAATGCCTTTCCTTTCCCTTCCCATGCCCAGCACCCACACCATACCGGGCAGCCCTCAGGGAAGCGGTCAGTGGTGCACTTGAGGAAGTCGGGCCAGCCGCGCTCGCGCTCCACRATGGTGCAGGGTGCCCGGGTGGCCTGGCACAGCGTCTGGCTGGGCAGCTCCACCTGCCCATCCTCACACTTGGGCATGTAGACGGCGCAGAGCAGGGGCTGGATGACATCCCAGCAGCGCGGGGCGTTGCGCAGGCCTGMGGGGAGGGGACAGCGCTGTCACCCCTGGGGCACGGCCACCTCCCACTGGGTCCCCCATTTTCTGTCTTCTCATAGACCATTTTCTGTATGTACCCACCCCAGGCCCYTGATACAGTTTTCTGTACTGTTCCCATCTCCTATCCACCACTCTCCTGCTCCCCTCCATGCTGTACCCCTCTCCACTCCCCATCTATACACTTTCCCATACTGTATCCATCCCCACTCCCCCTCTATACACTTTTCCATATTGTACTCATCCTCAGCACCCTGTTATACACTTTTCCATACTGTACCTCTCCCCAGCCCTTTGCTATACAGTTTTCTACACGGTACCCATTCCCCACTCCCCCTCTATACACTTTTCCATCCTGTACCCATCCTCACATCCCCTCTACACAGTTTTCTATACCGTACCCATCCCCAGCCCCCTGCTACAATTTTCCACACTGTACCCATCCCCAGCCCCCTCTATACACTTTTCCATACTGTACCCATCTCCAATCCCCCTCTATACACTTTCCCATACTGTACCCATCTCCAATCCCCCTCTATACAATTTTCCATACTGTACCCATCCCCATGTCCCCTCTATACACTTTTCCATACTGTACCCATCCCTATGTCCCCTTTATACAGTTTTCCATACTGTACGCCTCCCCATCCCATTGCTATACAGTTTTCTACACGGTACCCATTTCCCACTCCCCCTCTACACACTTTTCCATCCTGTACCCATCCCCACTCCCTCTATATAGTTTTCCATACTGTACCCCTCCCCAGCCCTTTGCTATACACTTTTCCATACTATACCCATTCCCACTCCTCCTCTATACACTTTTCCATACTGTATCCATCCTCACATCCCCTCTATATAGTTTTCCATAATGTACCCCTTCCCAGCCCAGTGCTATACACTTTCCCATACTGTACCCATCCCCACTCCCCCTCTATACACTTTTCCATACTGTACTCATCCTCAGCACCCTGTTATACACTTTTCCATACTGTACTCCTCCCCAGCCCTGTGCTATACACTTTTCCATACTGTACCCATCCCCACTCCCCCTCTATACAGTTTTCCATACTGTACCCCTCCCCAGCCCTTTGCTATACACTTTTCCATACTGTACCCATCCCCCTGCTATAGTTTTCCATACCGTACCCATCCCCAGCCCCAAAACATCCCACCCCCTCCACACTACACCCAAACTCCCCCCTTTCACCGCTCCCCATCCCCCTCCATCCCCACGCCCGGGCCTATCCCTCACTCTCCCCGCTCCCGGTACCGTCCCGTACCGGACCAGAGCAGCAGCTTCCCGTGCGCCTCCTCCTGCGAGGCGGAGTCGGTGGCCAGCAGCGTGGAGGTGGCGGTGTAAGGCAGCGCCGAGCCCAGGCAAGCTCCGAAGCGGAGCCGCTCGCACGGAGCGGGGCGGCGGCAGCGCGGGGGCCCGGCCGAGGCGTTGGGAGCCGCGGGGCAGCGGCCGCTCAGAGCCAGCGCCAGAGCCAGAGCCAGAGCCCAGCGCCGCCCGCCGCAGCCCGGCAACATCGCGGCGGAGCTCGGCGGGCTTAGGGCGGCTCGCAGCGGGGCGAGGGGCCCGCCATGGCCCCGCCGCCTTTGTTGGGCTCGCCGGGAGCGAGCGGAGCGGAGCGGCCCCGCTGCTGTTGCTGCTGCTCCTCCTCCGCCTCCTCCTCCACCTCCTCCTCCTCCTCCTCCTCCTCCGCCGCCGCCGCCCGGAGCTCGGCCCGGCCCGCGCCCCCCGCCAGGGCGGGCTGAGGGAGGGACCGCGGGGGAAGCGCTGCGGAGGGTAAGAGACCCGGCTTGGGAGGGGAAAGGCGCTTTTTGTGAGGGGAAAGGCGTTTTTTGTGAGGGGAAAGTTATTTTTTTTTGGAAGGGAAGAGTGGCCTTTGTGGGGAAAAAATTCGTTTTGTGAGGAAAAAGTTGTTTTGGTGAGGAGAAGTTGCTTTTTCTGAGGGAAAAGTCACTTTTTGTGAGGAAAAGTTTCTTTTTTTTTTGAAGAAAAAGTTCTTTTTGTGAGGAAAAGGTTCATTTTTGTGAGGGGAAAAGTCACTTTTTGTGAGGGAAAAGTTTCTTTTTTTTGAAGAAAAAGTTCTTTCTGTGAGGAAAAGGTTCATTTTTGTGAGGAAAAGTTTCTTTTTTTGAGGAAAAAGTTCTTTTGGTGAGGAAAAAGTTGTTTTGGTGAGGAGAAGTTGCTTTTTTTCGGAGGAAAAGACTACTTTTTCTGAGGGAAAAGTCACTTTTTGTGAGGGAAATGTTTCTTTTTTTGAAGAAAAAGTTCTTTTTGTGAGGAAAAGTAACTTTTTCTGAGGAAAGGGTTCCTTTTTGTGAGGGAAAAGTCACTTTTTGTGAGGAAAAGTTACTTTTTCTGAGGAAAAGACTACTTTTTCTGAGAGAAAAGCCACTTTTTGTGAGGGAAGTTCTTTTTTTTTGAAGATAAAGTTTCTTCTAGTGAGGAAAAAGTTGCTTTTTATGAGGAAAAATTTCTTTTTTTTGAGGAAAAAGTTCTTTTTGTGAGGAAAAGTAACTTTTTATGAGGAAAAGGTTCCTTTTTTTGAGGGAAAAGTCACTTTTTGTGAGGAAAAGTTCCTTTTGGTGAGGAAAAAGTTGCTTTTTATGAGGAAAAGTTTCTTTTTTTGGAGAAAAAGTTCTTTCTGTGAGGAAAAGTAACTTTTTCTGAGGAAAAGGTTCCTTTTTGTGAGGGAAAAGTTCTTTTTTTGAAGATAAAGTTTCTTCAGTGAGGAAAAAGTTGGGTTTTTGTGAGGAAAAGTTCCTTTTTTTGAAGAAAAAGTTCTTTTTGTGAGGAAAAGTCACTTTTTCTGAGGGGAAAGTTCCTTTTTTTTCGAAGAAAAAGCTCTTTTTGTGAGGAAAAGTCACTTTTTGTGAGAAAAAAGTCACATTTTATGAGGAAAACGTTCCTTTTTGTGAGGAAAAATTCACTAGTTAGGAAAATAGTCACTTTGTGAGGGAAAAGTTCCTTTTTGTGAGGAAAAATTTGCTTATTGTCAGGAAAAAAATCACTTTTTTTCTGAGGAAAAGGTTCCTTTTTCTGAGGGAAAAGTTCCTTTCTGTGGGGAAAAATTCACACGTGACGAGAAAAGTCACATTTTGTGAGGGAAAAGTTCTTTTTTCTGAAGAAAAAGTTCATTTTTGTCAGGAAAAAATCAACTCTTGTGAGGAAAACCTCTCTTATGAGGAAAATGTCAGTTTTGTGACGGAAAAGCCACTTTGTGTGAGGAAAAAGGTCTCTTTTTTTTGTGGAATAAAATGTCTTTGTGATGAAAAGGCCTTTGTGAGTAAAAAGTGATTTTCTGGAGGTGCAAAGTTGTCTTTGGGGCAATAAACCCACTTTTGGGACGAGAGAAGTTGGTTTGGGGGGAACAAAAGTCATTTTTAGGGGACAAAAAGCACTGATTGAGAAAGAAAAGTTTCCATTTGGGGGAAGAAAAGTCCCTTTTTGGGGACAAGAGACACTTCTGGGGAGAGAAAAGTTMCWTTTTAAAGAGAAATATTACTTTTTKGGGRATAWAAGTAACTTTTCAGGGGCRAAAAMTGYGCTTTTTKGGGGGGRAAGTTACTTTTTTGAAGGGGGAGCACTTTTATGGATGAAAAAATCAATTTTAGGAGAGGAAAGACAATTTCTGGGGGAAAGAAGTTGATTTTTGGGGAGGAAATTCATTTTGTTAGGGGGCAAGTTACTTTTTTGGCGGGGGGGAATCAGTTTGGGGGGACAAAAGACACTTTTGGAGGGAGAAAAGTTGTTTTTTTGGGACTAGTCCCTTTATGGGGGAGAGAAGTTGCTTTTGAGGGAAAAAAAAGATAAAGTTTTTTTTGTGAAAAGCCACTTTTTTGGAGAGCAGCTACTTTTTAGATTAAACTTGTTTTTTGGGGAGAAAAGTTTTAGGAAGGGGAAAAAATAACTTTTTTTTTTTGCGTGGAAGTGTCATTCCTCAGAGAGGGGAGGAAAAAATCACTTTTTCATGGAAGAAGCCACATTTCGGCAGGGAATGAGGTGGATTTTGAGGGAAAAAAGGCCAAAAAAGAGTCTTTTTTTGGGGAGAGAGAAACCTCCCGGCCGCACACAAAGAACCGGGCGCTGGGCCGCATCCCGGCTCCCTCCGCGGGAGGGACCACCCAGCCTGAGCAGAAAGAAAAAATTAAACAGGAAAAAAAAAAAAAAAAACAACCCCAAAAACTCCACCCACGGGTTTGCGACAGCTCCGAGAGGCGGCGGCAAGGCCGGCGTTGTTCTCAGCCCTTTTTCCCCTGATTTTTGGGGAAAATCAGCGGGGTGACGGGACGGGGGTGGCCTCCCCTGTCCCCAGAGCCACCGCGGTGTCCCCGGTAGAGTCCGGCATCGGCTCTTTATTGTCCGTGAAAGGCACGGGAAGCGGCTCCCGAGGACACCGGGGGGACCCTCGGTTGTCCCCTGTCCCCACAAGAGGAACAGCCCCGGTTCCACAGCCCAGCCGGGGAGAAGGCAGCTCGGTACGCAGACAGACAGACAGACAGACAGACAGACAAATCTCCTCCTCCTCCTCCGGCAGCACACGCAGGGAGGGAAGCTCATCCCAGCGCGGAGCTTTGTGCACCGGATGGACGGACCGACAGACGGCGATTCCCCGGGGCTGCTTCAGCTCAGCTCAACTCAGCTCAGCTCAACTCAGCTCAGCCCAGCTCAACTCATCCCGCCCGCCAAAGGCACGGAGTGTCCGCGGTCCCTGCACGTTCCGTTTTCTCCAGCAAAGCCCCTCCGGCTCCTCCCGCGGATCCGGGGCTCGGGAATGGTTTGGGGGGAAGTTGGTTTTGATCCCGGAGCCGCGGGATCAGTACCACGGGTCTGCCCGGTGCTGCTGGTTGTAGAGCTGCAGCTTGATCTG